CCCCCCCCCCATGTGTCTCATACCACTTTATATTTTCGTATGTCTAGCACGAAAATGAAGTCCGACTTGACTTGAAACGCTCCGGTAAACCCATTCTCCTAGAAACATTTCAAAGTATTATTATTATTATTATTATTATTATTATTATTATTATTATTATTATTATGTTTCTGTTCCTGATCTGGTTCTGTAAATCTGGCAGCAGCTGTCTTTCTATGTAGGGCCCTAGTTTGTGTTGAATTATCTTACATTAGCATTAACGTACTGATGTGATATAGAGAAAACTGTACACAAATTACTCCTGCCACACTCAGTCTTATGAGTATGCATATTTTTTAAGAACACAGATATCACTCTTTGGTTGTATTTCAGGCTCAGGGGTAAGTGAGGAAACTATGTGTTTGAACGGAAGGATTTATAAATATTTTATTGTCGTATTATTCATTAACTTATTCATTAAATAATTTAGTTTAATTTAATTTCTCTTTAGGTCATCAGTCTAGCTGTAGCAGTCAGTTTGCTACAGTGGTCATCTTAAAATATCGCCAAAGGAGATAAACATTAGTTTTAAATAAATACATAAGGAAGCAAATTTATTGTAAATAATGATAGGCAAAACCACGACTAATTAAAAAATCTAACATACCATTGCATTTAATGTTTGAGTAAATATAAGACAATCACATTATATGATATCTACTGTATACAGTACAGCTTCTCTGCCCTCTCTTTTTTCTCTTTTAACTGGAAGAACCTGGTGACCTTCAATGAAATTGCAGGTCTCCATATTGACGGATGTAATTATCACATCTTCCGGCAGGAATACACCTGTCACCACGCACCTACGCCCTCTAGTGGATAATGATAGATCATCATTTACAAAAGGGAGATAATCCGCGCAACGTGAAACGTGAGATGAACCACGTCGTGCTTCTAAAACCACGCGGCATGTGTGTAAATCAGCCCCAATTCCAACATGGACCGATTAGACTGTTAAAGATATTTACCGTACTTCGAAACATGAGATGGCTGAGTTGTGTATCTCTAAAAATATTTCACAATAACATAGATTCATTTCTCTGTGGTCTAGGGATATTGTTAGGCACTGTTAATTAATTTCATTACAGTTTTTATTAGCATACCAGGTAAAAGAAGGCGGACGATCACTCTAATGAGACTAGAGAAACATTTACATGTGAAACAAACAGTTCACAGCAAATAAAGGCTTTTTCGTAATACACAGGCGATCTTCTAATATTACAGTTCGGTTAAAGTGACTTGACTGTTTAAATACATTGATTCTTTTAACAGTACTTCATGTGCCGGCCTACTTTCTGTTTTTTTTGTTTTTTGTTTTTTTGTAATTTTATACGACGGGAGTTTCATATATAGAAGTTTAAAATCTTATTCCCACAGAAAATAATGTAAATCGAAGACAGACTATAACATTTGCAACCACAAGAGGGAGCAAAATGACCGCTTGTTAGAAACGGTAGCAGAATTCTTTCTGACACAAACGACCTGATATAAATCGCAAAACACCGATATTTTAAAAATCAATTGGATTCAAGCAACAACAAAAGGCAGACGAATAGAATTATGTCAGTGCTCATGGCCATATTTATCAATAATTCAGCACCGGATTACATATTGTAGTTCATAGGTATATGCGAGGAGGATGTGCTTTTCAGTTACCACTTACCTCGCTTCATGCTGTCATCGTGTTATTCGGCCACTGTGTTTCCTACCCCGGTTATTAGCCCAGTAGTTATCAATCCTCTTCCTGGAGAACCCCCTGCCAGAATGTTTTCATTCCAACCCCCGCTGCCTTCAACCTGCCACATTCGTTATTAGCCTACTATGGACTTTAAACGCCTGATTAAGGTGGGGGTGGAATGAAAACATTCTGGGGGTGGGGGGGGGCACACCAGGAACAGGATTGAGAATCAATATTAATCACTGTTTCCTTGAGGTGTGTGGAATAGGGGGGCATGGGAGCTGGGGGTTGGGGGGGGCAGCAGTGGTACAAGCAGTACTGAGATGAAAATAGCCCCCCCTCCCACAAAAGGGCTAAAGGGAGCATGCCACCAGGGCACAGGTGGTTTCATCACAGCTGGTAGGGCTCCGCACTGCACTCAGCTTGGGAGGATGCCAGGAGTTTCTGGGGCCTGCCTGTTGCCTGTGCCCATGCTGCCCCCCCCCCATTAAGACCAGCTGCTGTGGCTGCACCTGCTCAGGGGTATGCAGACCCAGCCTGCAGCCTCACAGCTATTTCCCTGCAGAATGAGTCATTATCCCCCGAAATCACTAACTGGCCATCTTTTCCAGCACTTCATATTCAGTGGACACACGCGTTTATTGGGCGGGGGGGGGTCCCAAATTTAACACTATTGTTGTCCTTGCAGATGGAAGCAGCTGCAGTGCATTTATATATGTAAAAATTATGGGTAGCCTGGAAAACACTTAAACACAGACTGACGATGAGGCTTTGGACAAGTACGAAACTGTCTGAATACAGCCTGATACATCTGCTTGGGCAGTCAGGCAGTTGCCTGTGTGCCTGTGGCGCAATACAATGTATGAACAGCAGGGGGCAGTATACCTCCAGCAGCACTTGGAGCGCCCAGTTTAGGGCAGTCTCTGGGAAGAGAGTATCAGAGACATATGTCAGCAGGTGTGAGGGAGCCCGCAGATCCTCAGAGTTTAATTTGAGTGTTTCACAGGTACTACACTAAAATACCTTGCAGTTGCGTTCAGGTGCTTACAGTAAGACTTTCTGTCTTGTAAAATGAGAGCAGGTCAAATGTTCCTTGTTTTTTATGAGGCTGTAAAAGTAAGTACATTGGAAACAAGCGCCTTTGATGTGCAGCTGCAAAACAGAATCCATCTTAGCAGCTCATTGTATTAAACCACATCCTCCCTTCGCACTTCAAGCTGCCTTATAGTGCAAAGGTGATCTTACTCATGCATAAAAGAGAAACGTCATGCCGAAGGTGAATTTATATGTTTTAATACGTCTGAGTCCCTGCAATATTAAGAACAGCACTCGTAAACAATGCATTAACTCATAAAAACGTTTTAATTTGCGATTAAATATAGAAAATAACGGGATACAAAAGGCTAGTGTCTTCCCAGCTACGTATTACACGAATTTATAAATGTACGTGTAACATTTCGTGTAACATGTCACGCTTTATATTTTTGTTTACTAAATAATGCCCTCTTTTTAATTATAAAAAAAAATACATACCTCATGGGTAAAATTAGGAGCCGCTCATTTTATATTAAATTACGGAAAACACATATGTCAGTCGACCAAGCGGGAAAACTGTAGTATCCCAGAGGATTTGGGTATCCGTAGCTTCACTAACAGTGTTTCACACAGAGTCCCTGCTCTTGTTGAAGGCGTAAATATATTGTAGCAATTATGGGGCATTACTGGTTGTTACTGCCAATTAATTGCATTTGTAACAGTTTACACTTGTTTAGAGTCTTGGTTCATTTGTGTATTTAGCTATCCAACAGCTGGATGCTGCTTCACGGCGTTTGTCGCTGTTCCTGTGTGGCACGTTGTTTAAACTGTGTTGGTTTGTAGTACAAATATGTAAATATAGCTGTCAGGGATTATGGGAGATCATCGCGCTTCTCATGGAAGAAAGCGTGGGGCTTTGATAATTAGATATTTTATGGGGGTTTGCTTGGTTGTTAGGACCCAGGAGTGCGATACGGTTCCGACAGTAGATTTGTAATTTGTTTATTAATTACTGCCATTGTTAAACGACAGCTGTGAAATGTCAGGTAAGTTAATGTATTTTAAATAAATACAGAATTTAGAAATACTCTCTGTTTAATGGGCATACTCTGTGTGCGTGTGGTCAGTTTTCTTTGCAATTAAAATTGAGTTCTGAAAAGATTTTATTCGATTCGTCCAGCAGGAAATGTATAATAGAGTGAGCTGTGATTGATTAAAGCTGCTCATTAAGTATTAGCGCAGTATTATAAATGACTTGTTTTAAGAGTTGGAATGTTTGGAGACCGTTGTAATTTCACGTTCAAGTGACTAAATGTTTCGGCTGATCACACAAACGTAAATGTTTGTGGAGGGAGAAATGAGGGTGATGCTGTTTGCCCAGGTGGATGTAATTAACCGAGGGGATGCGGAAGGACTGAAAAGTGCCCTCAAAACCCAACAGAATGAGACTATCCGGGTTTGTTTGGGTTCGGAAGATATGAATTAGGATCACTCTCGTTTCCCCTTTGACGGCACTCCGCATTCCCTCGCTTCTCCAGATTTCTTGTTTTTCTTTACTTTGCTGTTTATTGCCCACACATATAGTAGGCTATACTCAGTCCTATCTGTATAAAAATGACATGAACTGGCGTTTAAGTCGTTGCAATAGAAAAAATATATACTATTTGATTGAACGTAGTATATTTCATTGAGATACCGGTATATGTATGGTTTATATTATTTTATTTCTTTTTCTTACTGCATGAGTCCTATCGGTGCAGTACCTTTTACCTTTGAAACGGCGCTGTAGCGTTAGCCGAAATCCCATGGAAGGATTCCCCACCTGCCGCAATCATCTTCCCGAATGGCAACGTATACTGAAATTGCTCACAAATGACAGTGTTTATTTTATTACAATTAGGCTCCATTTTTTTCCGTGCCGTTTGACGCGGGCGTTGCAAAAATCCCATAATGGACGGCGGCTTCGCCGCAAAGTGTGATGTCCCCCCCCCTTGAATGATAATGGCTAGAAAAACATGATTCAACAGTTAAGTATACATTCATTTAACAATGTGTCGTTTCTATTTGCACTTCAAAATGGGCGACTCCCGCCTGCGAACACATGGACTCAATTAGGCAGAGGAATTCTTCATGTAAGGTCTGAAATAATGAAAAGACCCCAATAGCCTGGGCTCGTCTCATTGCAGGGCGTGTTTTCGCACAAACGGGAACATCAGCACATGACTTATAACATTCCAATATATTCTATTATTGATATGCAATTGTAGTTATTAATGAAAGTCGGTGTTTGATGGTTTTGTTGTTCTCCGATGTGTTTGAAGCTCAACTGACAGATGGAATTGTTTCTACACGGGATGACGAACAGGCGAGAGAGAATCGGAGGAGCGCGGCCCAGACGCCAAACAGGCAGAGACCAACACCGAAACTACCAGGAGATCTTACCGGATAATCAGCGGAAACAGAAACTTGTGTCAAGTAAGCATAATACGATGAACTATAAATTCCCGCACAGGGTGTCCCCTGCTTTACGTCCTGTTCTTCTTGACATTGGCGCCAGTCTCAGCACAACTCTGTACTCGACAGTCGGCTATGGAAGAGGGAGGAATTGCCCAAGGAATTGTCCCACATGACCGCAACACCGAATTGGAAAAACAGTACATCCAAATTAATGTTAAAATTTTGTTTTAAATAGATGGGTTACATATTAAATTAGCTGTTCGTTTTTTAATTGGAGTGACCGCTTTATTTGTCTGGTTGTCTTTACAGGAAAGAACTGGGAGGCTGGTTGTTTTCCTGTAACTGGGAAGTTTTGACATTTCCATTATAGAATCATGATTTTTCCAGTACTATGATTTTAAAGTCACTTAATCCAGATAATACCAAATGCACGCAATAACTTTATTATGCAAATTATGTTCATTAATATTAAAACTGGAAGTTCACTCAGTCAAACAAACCTAAGTCATTAAAATTAAAAGTGTGCTGTCAGTGGCTTGTGTCCCATTCAAATGACAACAGGTGGCACATGGAGGAAGGGCATGAAGATGAGGTTGGGGGAAAAGGGAAGACACTTCAAAGAGCTCCCCCACCTGCGGGACAGGTGCCATGCACCCAGGCACAGCCCCAGGTGGGATTTGTCCACCCTTCCAGTTCACAGTTCTTGGTTCACGCTGACAACTGATCTTCTTTCTGTGAAAAATAAATGAGTTTAATAACTGTGAGAACTGTCATTACTTAATATCCTCACTGTGATTAAAACAGGTGACGTGCTGGTAGAGTATCTCTAAAGGAAGAACAACATCCACATCAATCGACTGGTAGGTTTTGCTGGGGGAGGTTTTCTGTAAGAGTTTGCAAATGTATATAAATAAAATGTTGTAAAAGAACTTGAAGCAGAGTGGCACACAACGGATGTGTGTGCCACATAAAAAGGTATCAAATAAAGCGACACTGGCAGGACCGCGGCGATGATCCCGGCCTCGAGTCGTCCTGGAACACATGGCTCACGGGGCGGTCCGAAGGCTCTCTCTGGAGAGACCGCCAGTCGGCTGTCCGACCACGTGACCCAGGTGCCCTTCCGGATTGCTTTTCACCCAACACCACAGAAACGGCTCCAGCGACTATCAATATTTAATCAGGCCGCCCTAAGACGGCACAAAGGATTTTATTTTTGCCCGGCATGAGCGGAGTCAGGTTGCTGTCAGCAGGGTCCTTCCAGAGAGGTGGGCGGAGCCGCTCCACCCAGCTGCCCGTCACCGGGGACCGTCCGGTGACACAGCTGCCTATGGATGTGTACCCTGCGAAATTCCGGTAATCCGCCACTCGCGCACTTCTCACATTAACCTCAGCGCTGACAGGGGGAACAGACGTGCAAGGACCTCATTAATTCTGGATTAGTTGGAATTCATTGTCTCCTCACCACCAATAAATACAGCATTAACGATCGTTTCAATTTGCTGGTGAACTCCTTTGCATCAGCTAAGTCTACGTAATTCTCCGATACATCCAATCTCATTATGTCCTGTTATGGATGAAGCGCTCTACAGCAATATTAAAAGAAAAGGTATTAAATAACCAATTTACAGCCTTTCCACTTTTTCACTCAATCTAATTGCAAAGCCAAAGAGAGATTGTTCATGGTTCAGATAGTGGAATAATTGAATTCACTTCTTGAATTGCTTGAAGACGCAAGGTGGTCTGGTTAGAGAATGCAATGACTCAAATTCCATTTCTGACACTTAGGAAGTTTCATAATTTATTGCGACATCCCTGACTGGAGCTCAGCTCACCGTCACCTGGGTTAAATGCTGTGGTGCAGTGATGCTGGCTGGAGATCAGTTGGACCTTCTGATTCTCCCCCAATAGGTTTTTACATGTAATTATTCTGTTTGTAACAAAATGGCAGAGGAAGATATGCTGATGCGAGAATGACCCACAGTCTGAAGCAGCAAAGTGTGTGAAACATTGGATGTGTGTGCATAGCAAGAGTGCGTGAGGCTGGGGTTAGGTGTATTGCGTGAAACACCGAAATTTACAGCCTCCAATCAACTTCAGAGGCTCTTTACTGGGAGCATGGAGAAAAACCAGAGCTCCCACTGAAACCAGAGCGCACAGAAAGCTGCACACACCCAGCACAAGCATGTAAACGCACACACACTAATACACCATCAGCATGCAGACATGCACACAGTAATTCACCATCAGCATGCAAACATGCACACACTAATACACCATCAGCATGCAAACATGCACACACTAATACACCATCAGCATGCA